TCTTTAAGCGCTAACATATGTTGTTTTTTTATAAAAATATATATTCGTAATATTAGCTCCTTTTTTTATGTTTTTTGTCCTCGAAAAACTTTAGGTCGTATAAGTAGGTCGTCGGTCCCACTTCCCGTGGTTTTAGGATTTTTCCTTTTTCCTTATGCTTTATTCGTGATGTATGCTTATTATGTTAGGTCGAATTAAAAAATCGAAATTAAAAAAAACTCGTAAACGCGATCTTTTATTGCTTAGTATCGCTTTATATGGTTTTATTACCGATATACCTTGTTTATTTTATTTTAAGCGTTCGAAAAAATGCAAAATAGTAGAAAAGTCGTCGCGTTGCTTAGAGTGTATTCGCAAGAATTAATCTTGTAATAGTGTTTTAGTAGCTTTTTCTTTAAAAAAGCTTTTGGCTTAATAACGTAAATTAGATACGGAGAAGAGCGAAGCGAGCGAGGATTTAATATCGTTTTATTAATAAATAACTAAGATTTAATTTTAGCTATTTTTTGTTTTTAGTCGTTTGGATCGTATCCGGAAAATCCGTAAGCGGGTAAAAAGAAAAATTATAGTGGAGGTACAACGTAGTATGTTGGAATTGGATAAGGAAGATAGTGTTTTTTCCGTTCCGAACTAGGAGGATGACGTTTTTCTTATTTTGGAGAGTTACGAGCATTTTATAATAGATAATCTATAATCGATGGGTGTCCCGAACGAAGTAAATTAGTTTTTTTTTGGTTTCGAAAATGATTTTACAGACTTTGGTCCTTTTATTAAGATTGGAGGTATTATTTAAAAGCGGCATAATTTTTAACATATTTTTAGGTTCCTAAATGTTGTTTTTAAATAGGTAACTTTCTTATTTTACGAGGAACTAGTATCCTCGTCCGACCTTTTTATAGTCGATAATTTCCTTAACGTTGTATTCTGGCTAATTTTTTTCGATTTTAAGCGTTTGATCGATAATCGCGTCTTTGGGTGCGGGTTCGAGTAAAGAAATATAAAACGTTAAGTGTTTTCTTTTTATAATTTTAGGTAGCTATAAACGGTAATTAATTTTCGAAATTTATTTGTTAATTTTAAATAATCCGAGTTTTTTAAAGTTTAATTTATCGCTTAGTCGTTTTATTTTAATATTTTTACGTAATAAGTAAACTTTATTTCCTTTTATAAAAGTTAATTTTTTAACCTTATTTTTGTCGGCGTTCTTTTTTGTGCGTATTTAAAAGGTAATAAGGTTTTCTTAAAGGTTTTTTTAGAGTTTTTTTAGGTTATTAATATGTTAAATAGCGTGCTCCGCTAGTTTTTTTCCTGCGATAAGTTCCTTAGTTATATCTAATTTATAGCCGTAATTAGCGTAAAATAGTAATACTTTTATAGGTTCTTATATAATATTATTATAAGCAAACTACGCTATAAGTAATAATATAACCCAATTGTTTTGATCGTAATTAACGTAACAACGTAGGTATTTTTCGAGTATTTAGTTAGCTCGTTTTATTTGTCCGTTTATTTATGGATAATAAGCTATCGAAAACTTATAGTTTATTCCCAGTTACGTTATAAATAACTTCTAGAATTTTGATATAAATAGCTTATTTTTATTTAAGATAATTTTATCTAAAATACCGTATTGGCTGGTTATAATTCTTAAGAACGTGTAAATAAGTTTTTTTGCGTTATTTGCTTTTTTGTAAAGTAAAAAGTAAGCGTACTTCGTAAGTCGTTTTATAAATACTAATATGTTGTCGTAAAAGGTCCTAATTAAAGGTTCCTTCGATAATAATAGCTTTATAATAAAATTTAAGGCGATAAATTTTTATGCTTTATTTAGAGGTAGTATTAGTTATAATTCTTTATAAGGCTTGTGTTATGCTGATTTTGCTTTATTACATAAATCGTAATTTTTAATGTATTTACTAACGTATTTGCGTAGTTGTGGGCAATTAAAGTGTTGTTGTATCCGTTTGGTTGTTTTAAATACTCTTTGGTGTCCGTTAATAGGCGTAAAATGGATTTCTCGGATAAGCTCGTCCCTAATTCGTTCTAAGATTTCGATCTTACTTTGGTATATAGGCAATATACCGTCTAGTTTTATGATTTTGCTTAACTAATTATCGTTATTAGTTATTTTGTTAGTAGCGTAAAAAATTATAATAGGTATTAAGTTTCCTTCTTAATTATTCGCAAGGATAATGTATATCTCTTTGGGTGCTTTTTAATAATAGTTTAATTTTTGGCTAAAAGCGTTTGCTTTGCCGTTTTTTGATTTTTTGCGGTAAATAATTTTAAAGTTAAAGTTTGCTAAGAATTCGGCCTATCGTATTTGTCGCTTATTGAGTTTTTTGCTTATCGTGAACGATACGAGATTCTTATAATCGGTATAAACTTTGATTTGGTAGTTAGTTCCGCTTAAATAGTATTTTTATTCTCGGAATGCTTCGATAATTACGAAAAATTTTTTATTATAAATTTAATAATTAAGTTATTTTTTAGTAAACTTTTTGGAATAAAAGGCTATAAGGTGTAATTTTCCCTTATCGTTTCGTTGGCTAAGTTGTCCGCTTATAGCGTAGTTTAAGGCGTTGGTTTCGACCTCGAACTTTTTTTCCGTATTTATTATACGTATTACGGGTTCGTCCGTAATTTTTTTTTTAACTATATTAAAGGCGTTTTGTTTTTTGGTGGTTTAATCGAATAATATATCCTTTTTCGTTAAGTACGTTAAGGGTACTGCGATATTTCCGAGTTTTCCGATAAATATACGGTAAAAGTTTACGAGTCCTAAAAAGGATTTAATTTTTGTAACCGTTTTCGGGGTAGGCTAATCTTTAATTATTAAAATTTTAGAATTTTTTATTCTAATTTCTCCGGGGGATACGACGTATCCTACAAAAGTGACTTTCTTTTAGTAGAATTCGCTTTTTTTAAGATTTATAAAAAAGTTTGCTTCTTATAACTTTCGTAGTACGGCGGTAATATATTGTTTATGTTCGTTAAGGTCTTTAAAATAAATAAATATATCGTCGAAGTATATTATTATAAATTTGTCGAGGAATTCTTATAAAACAATATTAATTATATTCTAAAAGCTTGCTAGTGCGTTGGTTAATCCGAAAGGTATAACCAAGTACTCGAAATATCCGTATTTCGTTTTAAAAGCTGTTTTTTATTTTTTTTTCTTTAATTCTAATTAGTGTTACGAACATGCACCCTTGCAGCCTAAAAACAATACAAAAGAATAAAGACACGGCCACGAAGCCGGTCCCAAAGACAAGGACAGCTGGGAACGGAACCAACAGCTAAAGGTCACGTGATTAGTTTGGATTATTAAGTTTTAGCATCGATCGAAGAATCTTAGCAATAATCCATAAATTATTACAGCATAATAATAATCCAGCATTCCAAAATATAAGATCACTAACCAACGTAAGTAATCCAAACAAACATTAGTAAGGGAATAAATGGATATATAACGGATAAATTTCCTATTTTATATAAACAGTTATTACTTTAATAATTAATTTAAGCATTTATCTTACCCATAAGTAAAGCATTTAATACGCTTTAACGACTACACTTACAAATCAGTTCAGATTATTTAGTTAACCTTGCCTTATACGCTTAGTACTTACTTAATTAGCATATCTGCTAGCATAAACCCCAGCACCTCTTATACTTCGGTTTATCCTTAGTATAGTCGTTACACGTTCCAGCATCTGTATTTTGCCATTTGGCATATGCCGGCGCACCCAAATCTTGTCTGGAAAAATTCCCAGCTGGGGATAGATCAGAATCGTCGTTTGCGATACGAGTCACACGTCTTTGGCAGCTGTTATACTCTCTGCGGCCTTCCGCTATGTTAGACTCAGGGCTCAAAGGTGCTTTAATACAGCTCAACAGTGGCGTCATGCTGAAAACATGTTAGTTGAGGCATATCTTCTACATCGATATAAACATGTTGCCATCTTCGCTTTTTTTTTTTCTTACTTCCAACCCAAGTCCCCAAATCATTAAGGCACTCGAGAAGTCATACCTGTCATAAAAACCAACGCAAACAATAATCGAAAGATCATTTTCACCATCCCCACAAACTTTAGCAACACAATGTCTCTCCTAACTAAAGCAGCCAACGCTCTATTCGTCGTCGGTAACGTGAAACTGATCTGTAAGTTTGGTTCAACGGCAATATTTATCAAATCAACCGACTAACTCTTCGAAAGTCTTGACGGGTCACGTCCGACTAGCCGTTCCATTCGCGCTCGGCAAGGTCTATGACCTCGTCGAGACCGATCCCGGCACGCCCGGCGTGGCTCCGGGCCTCGCCTTGCGTGACGACCGGACAACTGCCCACCACGGGTGGGTCAAGACCAGGGCGCGAGACCCAACCGACAGCATGGCTTCGGTGAAGAGGGGATTGGAGATGGTTGGTCACCTTGAAGCAACTGGCCGGCCTGTCGCCCGCCTAAAGATCACGCACGTGGGGAACTTGTTCGAGGCCAAGGATCGGGACGGTGTTGCGCAGGTAGGCGTCCACGGAGACGCCATTTGTTGGATTACCGACGCCGGTCACGCCACGTCCGATGCAGAGAGCGAGGGTCGTTAACAGCGGCAATGGGCATGGAGACTAAGGGGCCATGACAAGTGAAGCCATTCTTGTTCAAGTTGTACTCGTGCGGCAGACAAGTCTTTCCTATTTGAACGAATCGCTTCAGCTATCACTTTCCTTATACAGAGTAAAAGTATCGTGACCACGGCGGCGAAAAAGATCAGGATTGTCATAAAAAATTGCGAGCCATCATTTGAGGTCTGAATAGCTTTATTCAATGCAACATTTGAGCTTGCACCCAAGGTACAGCCCGCCGAGGTTTACCCGTACTTGACTCCACTGTCTCAGTCTTAGCGCTGTGCTGCAACAACATTTTACCTATTCTAGATAATTTTGACACATGGCTAAGGGATGAGATTGTCCACATTGGGTCAACGTGGCAGCGAAATTTAAACCTCTTGTAGTGTAGTGGTTAGCACGTGAGATTTTGATTAGACTCTCGTCTGTCTCAATATTCTCGAGTCCCCGGTTCGAACCCGGGCAAGAGGTATTTCTTTTTGTTTTTTTGCCCAAATATGGTTTTCTATATTTATTTGGTTGAGACTAATATGCTTTATCTCTTGTTCATAAGGATCATATTTGGCGGTACATAAGTACTTCTTATCTCGAGAATTATTTAGTTTTATTGATTTAGATATTTTTTTAATGTTGGTATTTGTATACAGTCTGTGTTGATATGGTATCTAGCGACGGGCGGCCTTTGTTTCAATCTCCGTCGAGCAAGAACAAAGTAAGCCAGGGATTCAGTTTGTTGTGATTCTTTGTCTGAAATAATTGGCCTTCTTTCATGTTAGTAACAATGCATCTTTTGGAATCGAGTCATACCTAAACCCTCTCAAGTGCTTCTTCTCAAGGAAGCTGTCAGCCAGATTCCATTGCCCGCCTGCCGCGGGGTATTCTTATGCCGGCGGGGTTTTGATCTATGGAGACCACCTTGGAAGCCGATAGCAAGCACATCATCGCCAACTCGGACCTGTCTGCTGCCCCATTGGTCAAAGAAGTCGAAAGAGATCAACGTCGGGAACATCCCCGAAAACTGCATTACATACTACGTGTACCTCACTGTGCATCTGATTGCTCCCGTCCGGCCTTCGGCTTCTCTTGCGGGGACTAGTGAATCAACTCATACATAAATCGTGTGACGCAAGAGGCTCTCTTTTTGAATTGTATACTATTCAATTCATTGTTCTTTGTTCCGACCCATGTTCTCACGAACGGCCCGCTGCACCCTTCGTACACTTGTCTGCCGACCGTCTTTTTCTAGGAACCCCTTGACTGCCCTTGTCCGCTCCCCTCCGGATTTCTTCTTCCAGCAGCAGCAGCGCGCCAACATGGCCTCCGCCGTCGCCAAGCGCCTCTCGGGCAAGACCATCCTGATCACGGGCGCCAGCTCGGGCATCGGCCGCTCGACCGCGCTCGAGTTCGCGCGGTCCTCGCCCCAGGACCTCAAGCTGATCCTGACGGCCCGCCGCACCGACGAGCTCGAGAAGCTCGCCGCCGAGATCACCAAGGAGGTCGGCGCCGGCGTCAAGGTCCTCCCCGTGCAGTTCGACGTCTCCAAGCCCGCCGAGGTCCGGGGCTTCGTCGGCAGCCTGCCCGAGGAATGGAGGGACATTGACGTGCTGGTCAACAATGCGTAAGTTGCCAAGATGTTTGCATTGTAATGATTCCTTTGTCTTGCTTGGGAATGTGACCGAATATGGTGTGCTTGACATGCTTGCACAGTCAGGCTTGAACATACTGCTTAATTAATTGCGGAAAGAAGAGAAGAAATTGCGCTAATTGCGAGATATATCCAGCGGCCTGGTCAAGGGCGTCGCGCAGGCGCCCAAGATCGCCGAGGACGACATTGACGTCATGTTCTCGACCAACGTGACGGGCCTGATCAACCTGACGCAGCAGATCCTCAACGTCTTCCTGGCCCGGCCGGACGGCGGCAAGGGCGACATCATCAACGTCGGCAGCATCGCCGGCCGCGAGCCCTACCCCGGCGGCAGCATCTACTGCGCCACCAAGGCCGCCGTGCGCAGCTTCACCGAGAGCTTGCGCAAGGAGCTGGTCGCTTCTCAGATCAGGGTCATTGAGATCGACCCCGGTCAGGTCGAGACTGTAAGTTTTTGCTCCAGAGAGATGAGACGACCGAGGTCCTGGATCGAGATGCACTGGCTAACACTCGTGATAGAACTTCTCCGTCGTTCGCTTCGGCGGCGACAAGGCAAAGGCCGATGCAGTTTACGCGTAAGTGATTCATTCTCCTCCTCCGTGGGAAATCGTGCGAGCCCTTTTCCTCTAACGCTTGACAGCGGCGTCGAGCCATTGACACCCGAGGATATTGCAGAGGTCATCGTTTTCGCAGCAGGAAGAAGGGACAACGTTGTCATTGCCGACACGCTTATCTATCACAAGAACCAGGCCGGAGCTACCTCTGTTCACCGGAAGTCTTGAAGAGGATAAGAGTGTGAAACGACGGAGCTCATAAAGTATACTGTATATTTACTAGAGAAGATGCAAATAAATTGATCATAGGCAGAGTAACAGGTTCAACGATACGTGCAGCCGCCGGTGCAGGTCGAGTCGCATATGACGCTTCCACTCCAGCTTTGCTAGAGTTCGTCCTTCAGAAGTTTTTCTCCAAAGAATATCCTCTAGAGAGTCTCCTCTAAAGGATCTCTAGAGAATCTCCAGAGATTTTCCTCCAGAGATTTTCCTCCAGAGATTTTCCTCCAGAGATTTTCCTCCAGAGGTTTTCCTCCAGAGATTTTCCTCCAGAGATTACCCTCCAAAGGAACCCCTCCATACTTTTGGATCCAGAGAATCCAGAGAATCTTTCAGCATCTCCTCGGGCATCTCCTCGGGCATTTCCTGCAACGTGTCTTGCTGTATCTGCTCCAGTTCCTGCTTCAGTTCCTATAGCAGAACCCCATGCAGCAGCCAATGCAACCATCCTACATCAACCTGCACGGCACCACATCCATCAGCCCATGCTCTATGGTGGCGTACAGCCATTCGCATAGCCACAGACCTATACTCTTTTGACACGCTGGTCCTGACTTGGAGTCTGTGATTTTGTTGATCACTGGCAGTCTTCAATTGGAATTGACATGCAGAAAGTTCGAACGGCAAGCATTATCACGAATGGTAACGGTTTTAACTCTGAGAACCGGTTGTATTCTATATATTCTAGTACGAGTCCCTAGTACTGACTGCTGGTACAGACTACGCTGATATGTACTTCCATGAATACATGATCGGTAAGACTACATGTCTTGCTACGAGACTTACCATGTTGATAGAGTTGATGTTTACAGACCTGAAGACTATTCTTCGAATCAGCAATGATCAAAACCAGCGTTGATACGAAGACAAGTAAATGTGCAACTTGAATCAGAAAGCCGTATATTACTCATTCACAGAGAACCGGCATCCTTCCGACAGGCCCCAAGACGAGACCTGACAGTCAAACGCACTGGAACTAAAATTACGCCCGAAGACAACTCCACAACCGATCATCGATGCCAGAACGACAACTACAGTGCGGGAGAATGGCTCGGCCCCCGTGAGATCGTTGAATGGATAAACGCGTTTCATCATAAAGAGTGCTGATGTAAATGAGATAGATGTTGAGCTTACCTTGGCGTTGAGGTAGTCGAGAACGAGCGAGTGCTGACCACACAGCGACCTAGAGGACTGATTTTGACAGTTAGCCAATATGTTCGACAAGCGAATCAGAATGTCAAAAGATGTTGGTGAAAACATGTAATCAGAAATATGTATTTGGTATAAGGGTTATCTTCACAGCGCTTCAGAAGCAGAACTGAAAATAAGGTTTTTCATCACGGACATGTCGTGGGATCTTGAGGTGTGGTGCAGTAAAGAGATTGACTTACTCAGCAGTACTTTTGGGGATGGCGATAATATTGTGCTCTGTGTGCGTTATGCCTAGAGTGATCTTTCCCATAAAGTTAGCCATGATCGTTCGATACACGTCTTCCAGTCAATAGAATTGGGATGTTTGAAGGTGCTTCAGATGGTGATGCATGTTAGTTCTGCGCTCATGGGCATCGCTAAGAACAGTGGATAAAGAATCATCAACAGCGGGGAGGGCGTTGTAGAATGCGATGATCCGAATAGAGGTTGATGGAATGTGCTTACCCTCAATTCTGTAGACGCGACCACGCCGTCCTCCAGAAGCAAACACCAGCGGCCACGACCAAGCGAGCAAGTTTCTGACGAGCACTTCCCAAGCAAAGCCCGCGACCTTTCGGCAGAGGGCATTTGCAGGCAAGGTCGATCAGAGCTCAAGATAATCCTTTTGAGCACTTGTCCACTACTGGCGCGGCCACTGTGCTACCGCAGAGAGTCGGCGACAGTCGCGTTGTTGGAAGTTCTGAGGAACGATAATGTGAAGGTAGAGAGGAAGAGGCTCAAAAAATTCCCAGGCTCAAAAAAAAATCTATTTGGAGGTAGGTGACAATTGTGTGGCCGGTGCGCAATTGGTTCCGTTGGTGGGCTGCCGCGGCAGGTGGGGCATTCTTCTTCTAGTGGAGGTACCTTCTCCAACATCCCTGCACTCTTTTTCAAGAGCTCCCGAAAAGTGACATACCGCAAACGTGAATTTTTGGCCGCCATCAGCTCAGTAAACTCATTCGGATCGCAACAGCCAGACGCCCTCCCACTTACCATGGCCGACCGCAGAAGGATCAATGGGCCCGTCGGAACGACGACGCCGCCAGTCTTTACCCGGACACCTAATCGTCCCAAGCCCAAGCAGTCCGACTCGATTCGCAAGATCTGTAAGTAGTGGGGTCTCTCTTTCTGGTCGTACTCTTACCTCTTGTTCCTTCTGTTAACATGTCCGGCCAGTCCTGAAGACCGGTGTCACTCCCTCGGCCTCTGGATCAGCTTATCTCGAACTCGAAAGCCGTCCGAACCATCCAGTCAAGTCGAACCTGAAGCTGTCGTGTACAGTCCACGGCCCCAGGGCGCTTCCTCGATCGGCGCCGTTCTCGCCTCACATCATTCTTACTACTCACGTCAAGTACGCACCGTTTGCGACCAGGACGCGGCGTGGTCCCCTCAGAGACTCGAGCGAACGTGACTTGGGCGTACATCTGGAGACGGCTTTGCGCGGCGCCATCATCGCAGACCGATGGCCCAAGAGTGGTGTTGACATCATTGTCACTATAATTGAGGGCGACCAGGACCGCCATGCTCCCCACAACCAAGACGATGAGAACTGGGAGATGATGAATGTGCTGAGCGGCTGCATCACCGTTGCCTCTGCGGCAATTGCAGACGCCGGTATCGACTGCGTGGATACAGTGGCCGGAGGCGTTGCGGCTCTAGTCTCGAAGAAGGACGGCGACGTACCCGATATCATCGTGGACCCGATCGTGGCCGAGGACCACAAGATCTTGGCCGCATGTTGTGTGGCATACCTGCCTTCAAGAGACGAGGTGACGAATCTATGGTTCAAAGGACAACTTCCT